GATAGAATGTAAATACATCCAATCAAGGACCCAATATTCCTGAACACATTTGAAAATAAACATCATATTTCATCCTGATTATAATAGAAATGTATAAACAAATTAAGAAGAAAATAGCTATACAAATCCTTTTTGGAAAAATCATTCTTAAATGTAGATCTGCAAATCCTCTATTATGAACTACTCCAAGTTGTGTTTTCAGTTACATTAAAACAAAACAAATTGTTCAATGATTCATAAAGAGGCCAGGGGACTTAAATCTCCAGTTGGCAATTGGAAGAAACAGTGAAGTATGGGAGAAACTCACATCCTCATCTTGAGAAGGTTGTACCATGTCTACCAGTCTCTGAATCACCTTCTCCTCATTCAGCCACTGAGAGAAGACAGAGCACAGATGTCAGATGGATACACACAATATGAGGAGGAAACGAGCCGACCAAGACCTCAAATGCTAAGTATGTTTTCAAATTCATAATTGCCTTATCATAGAAAGTCAAAAGATTCTGTGTAGACATCATTAACAAAACATCATCACTGACTTATCCCTTTTGGCACAAGAAGAAATGACCAGTTACAAATCCAAGTGCCACGCCATTTATTTGATATCTTAGGAAGACCCTGACAAGAAGTTAAAGAACCTTCCAACTCGTGTGAGTTGTGTCTGATACCCATGTTGTATTGTACCGTGATGCTTGCCTTGCAAAACCAGGCTAAATTCTGCCAGGTCAGCATTTGCAATGAGATTTGATTGTAGACAACACATACGGGCACCTGACTGAGCTAGAACTAGCAAGATAGATACACAATTGTGCTGAATTTGTAACCAAAAAGTCTCTGTCTTCAAAAATGAATATTACAATTATATTTAGAAACACTTTCTTTTTTTAAAAAGGTGGCTGGCTTAAAATATCTACGCTATCTGAATAGTATCTACCGTAATTTTCTGACTATAAGGCGCACCTGAATATAAGCCGCAGCAGCGGCATACCACTCTCGGTTCCACTTTTACTTTTGCGCGCTACCTGTCTCACTCTTTTCCGGCCTCCAGCTTTTCCTGCTGGAACCTGCCGCTTAAAGGTGGGAGTCCGCGGACTGGCTATAGAGCCCATAGAGTTAAAGGTGTTGGCCGTTAGCTGTAAAAATCCATAGATTAGCCGCACCGTTATATAAGCCGCAGCGTCGAAAAATAGGGAAAAAGGCGCGGCTTATAGTCCGAAAAATGTTTTTCATTCAGAAGCAAATACAGAGAAAGTCTCAACACTAGATATGGGTATCGTTAGGATTTTATCGATACGATAAAACGGTACCGGTACTGCTTATCGGTATCGGTATTTTTCGATACTCTTATCGATACTTTTCAATAATTTGGTGCTCAAAATTATAGACATGAATACAAGATGTGAAGATTAAACAGTAATTGTATTGTAATTTTCTTGCAGAAATAACTGTATAACTTATACATTAGCTTCTCAGAAGCAGACACAAATAAATAAAATAACTTAAAAGGGCCTGGCTCGCCCTATCGCTTTTTGGGGTTTTCCCTGAGACAGAGGATGAAAAGAGGCATTTAAAAAAAAAAAAATGTAACATTTGTAAATCATTTACATCTTCATCCAGACATTTCAAACTGACGACCAATTCAATTAGTGTCTCGTTTGCAAATGCTTCATTCAGTTGCTTGTGTTACCCCCTTTACAAGCAACTAATTGAGTACATAGATTGCACCTTGCACTATCGCCACTACATTTTTTAAAAGTGCACCCAGACCTTCGATCGCTTCGCTCTGTCCGCCATCCCTGCGGGAGTCTCACAAAAATAATGAGAGATGACGAGTGGCATTTACAGTGGCCAATCAGAGGGGCCTCAAACCGGATACATCACACGGGATGAGGGTTCCCAACCAACCAGAATGGTTTAAAGTTAAACTAAGGAAGTAGACGCAACACATATACCGATGGCAGCACCGTTTGTCCAGCGGCTTAACGGTATACCGATACCGTCCAATCAGGTACCGGTATTGACTTAGTACCGGTTCTCGGTACCCATCCCTACTCAACACCCTTTGGACCAGTTGAAGTAGAAAAGACACTTGTCCTCAACATCTATGCCAGATTACAATGACTACAATTCAATGTACTGGCTTGTTCTTGAAGTTTGGGATGGTTCCATTCTAACTGTGTAATGTGTGATTTGATCCGGGATATTATCTCGTGTTGTCCCACTACTCACATTGAGAACGTCCTGTCTTAGCTGTTGTGGTTCGATGCAGGTGAGCATTCTGAGGAGCAGGTCCATGATGGCAGATGTCCCGATGTGTTTGATCATCAGGTCTACAAAGTCCTCCCTCTTCCGCAGAAAATCCACTATCTATAAATTAGGAAAATCAGAGCATGTGAGCAGATTAACAGTAATGAATGTATTTTCAAATGGATTCTGGAAAACTCATCAACTTATCTGATGAGGATTTGCATCTTTGGATAACCGCTACTCCCCAACGTACCTGTTCAGGTTTGCGTCCTATGAGAATGGACAGCACCTTGGAGAAAAAGCTGGCCAGGAGTGGGTTGAGCGGCGGCTCATTCTGGAGGAAGCTGTAGAGTTTCATCAGCAGTTTTTCATCTTCTCCCAGTCTGTCGTTGATCTGTCCCACATCTGACGTAAGCAGCTCACAAGAGATGTTGGGATACCTGTAGGAGAACAAAAGCTGATACTTAGGCCGCGCTTCTACTGCATGGTATGCTTCTACTCAAATAACTCTTATTTTGTTTCCATTGTAAAGGCTGTGAATGGTACCTGACACTTTCTTTAGTACCACCTCAGCAGAGTTTCAAAGCCGAATGGGCCAGTACTAAGAGGTGATGATAAAACACTGCAGACCACTGGTTGGTCTAGACCACTGGTTCTCAACGGGGGCGGTACCGCCCCCCAGGGGGCGTTCAGAGAACATCGGGGGGCGCTGGAAGCAATATTTTTGAAAGGGTGGCGTTGAGGTGTTCTTGGGGGGCGTTCACGCATAATGTCTTTTTGTCATGAAAAACACTGGCCACAGCGTCTTTTCCTGTACAAAAAGCAGCTGTCAGCATCTTTTGTTGCTATAGGAAACCACAACTCTGCTTGCGATTGGTCAGCTGTCAGCAGTGTTATTACGGGTACGTTCGTAAATGCACGAACGGTCAGTCCGCTCGAGCACCCAGCTGTGAGCGCTCGAGCACCCAGCTGTGAGCGCTCAGAGCGCAGCGCTCTGGACTGTGGAACGGGGACGCTCGGAGCGCTCTGAGAGCATTTACGAACGTACCTACAAAAAGCAGCCGGGAGCGGACCGGAAGTCGTTGTAATTTTGGGATCGCGACTGTTAATAATCTGTGTCACTTTGTTAAATTTTGATATGTTTTGATATGACAAATTCCACAAACAGATTCGAACTAAGTGGTCAGTTTATGAAAATAATACCCGTTTCTATGTCTGCTACGACATGGAAGAGCTGGCTAGCCAGGCTGCTCCACACAGAGCTCTGTTTGTTCAAAAT